TTGGCAATATTGGGCAAGGTCAATGCAGGTGCCGGTGCCAGTGCCAGTGCAGAGCTTTATCTTCCGACTCAGTCTCGGGGGGCTTACCCTCCAGCCCTTTGTCACCTCATGCAGAGGTTTGGCAGTTTCAGCAAATTCAGGAATCCAAAGTCTGCAGTGCCCTGCTATCCCCAGGAACTCTTTTATTTGTCTCTATCATCGGTATTGATAGAACCAAAATAGCCTGTTTCTGAGGCAGGGACAGAGACCTCTTACCTTCTTGGAGGTCAAACCCCAGGTCTACAGCTTTCTAGGCGCAGAGTTATACCTTCTCTGCAGACACACAATATCCCAGTGTCTGCAGAGTTCTTAGCAGTCCCTCTGTAGATTCTTTGTAGTCCGTTTCGTTCATGCTGCAATCCCTAAGTTATCCACATGTTGCAGAAGTGTAGCCTGGGGAAAACTGAGGCAGCACTCATCCAAATCTGCATGTAAAGCTTTGTCAAAAAGACTGTGAGAGTTTTTGAATCCTTGGGGAAAGCGAGTGCATGTCAATTGTCCATTGAAACCAGTCTCTAGGTCAGTCCATTCAAAGGCAAACAGGTTGGCTCTGAAGGACCAGGGGGATGCTGAAGAAGACATCCTTTAAGTCCATAACTGTATAAACCTGTGTTTCTGATGAAAACATGCTGAGAAGTGTGTACAGATTGGTTATCATGGGGTGGATATCCTCTGCCTTCCTGTTGACCTCCTTCAGGTCTTGGACTGTTCTAAAGTCATTAGTCCCTGGCTTCTGTGCAGGTAACAAGGAGACGTTCCATGGGGACCAGCTGGGAATTAGGATTCCCTCATCCCATAGGTGGTTGATGTGCACATTGATACCTGTCTGCACCTCTGAAGACATTGGATATTGCTTAACTCAGATGGGATCCACCCATGGTTTCAACTGGACAAGTACTAGGGCCTGGTGTTTGACCCACCCTGGTATATTGCTCTCAGCCCATACCTGGAGGAACTTTCACTGAAATTCCTATAGTATAGGGTAGTTGGACACTAGGTTCTTTTCTGTAGGGTGAGGAGGTATTCTTCTCCCAAGGACAGGGTCACAAATATGCCATGTTTTTGAATTTCAAATTCTTCTTCCTTAGGCAGCTTGACAGATATACTTTCTTGTATGATAATCTGGGCCCGTAGTTTGTGTAACAAGTCATGACCAAGGAGAGGGTATGGGCATTCAGGGATGACTATAAAGGAGTGAGTTACAGTACCTTTTCCTAGGTCCAGTTGTCATGCTGTAGTCCAAGGAGAAGGCTTGGTTTCGGTAGTTCCCTGAACAAAGGCTTGTCAGTTAGTCAGAGGTCTTTCTGGAAGTGGCAAGACTGACAGCTGAGCCCCAGTAACAACCAAGCAGTCAATTGGCTTTCCCTCCGCTTTTAAGTTATCCTGGGCTCAGGGAGGGACTCCATGTCTCCAACACCCTTACTCCTCTACAAAGTAGAAGACTCTTGGCTTGGGCTTATTGTGTTGTGGGTGCTCGTGTTTCCAATGGCCCACCTCTTTGCAACACACACATTGGTTTCTGAGGTGGTGGAAGATCTTTCTTAAGTCCTAGAGGGCGTCTTAGATGAGGGAATTGGGGCCCCCGGGGCCAGGATCTGTTCCTCTTGGAAAATGGCCATTTTTATCCTGGCAGTTTTCCTTGCCTGTTTATCGTCCTGATTTTCTGTTATTATAGACCTTACTGGCCATTTCTACCAATTCGGAGAGGTTTTGTCCCTCAAATCCCTCCAGCCTCTAGTTCCTTTCCAATGTTGGGGAGCCGACAGGGACACAAAGGCAGTGTTTGTGGCTCTCCTGTTTTCTTCGACCTCAGAGTCAATGTTAGAACAAGTGCAACAGGCCTCCATTAGCTGTTCTAAGAGGCTCATTCACTTCCTGCAAACTCGTCTAATTTTAGACATATGGGTAGGGCACCTGGTGTCTGCCCGGACACCTCCCATTAGAGTCTGGCGGTAGACTTTCAGGGACTCCTTACCTCCGTCAGTGCTGGGATTCCAGTCAGGGCAGTGATGGGAAAACAGCCCCGATGATCACCAGAGTACTGTTGGGCTGCCCATCCTTACCAGGAACTAATTTCCCAGCTTCCCACAGAATTCATTCCCTCTCCTCGTAAGTAGAGTTGGCAGATGGGCGGGGAGCGACATTTTCTAAGACAGCATTTATCAGCTTCTGCACTATGACATTTTGGGTCAGACCATCCTTTGTGGTAGGGGCTGCCCTGGTAGATGTCTTGTAGCACCTATGGTTACTACTACCCACTAGATGCTCATCCCTCATCCAGTTATGAAAAATCCAGTGTCTCCAGATATTACCCAGTGTTTCCACAGTTAAGACCCCCTGTTTAATTAAATGTGAAAACCAAAGGAAGAATTCCCTCGCTGTTAACAGAATGACAGGCTGGGATTGTTACTCCATGGGAAATCACTTTTGGGGAGGAGGTGGCGGTTTGAGACAGGGTTTTTCTGTGTAGCCCTGGCTGTCCTAAAATGAAAACACTTTTGTAGACTAGGCTGGCCTTGAACTCACAGATTCACCTGCCTCTTCCTCCAAGTGCTGGGATTAGAGATGCACCACCACGCCCAGCTAGAAAAGCATGCCTGAGGCTCTGGGGTTTAATCCCTACCATCTTGCAGAAGATAACAAAATGTCATTAGTAGCAAGAAAACTACAAAAGGGAATCTTCACAGGACTGCTTTTTGGAGTAAAGTGAAAATGGGGAAAGAGAATGTTAAACATTTTGTTTAACATAAGGCCTCCCCCCCTCCCTGCCCCCAATAAGGCCTTTAAAACAACAACAAAAACATACTTTCTACAAGTCCAGGTGCTATTTATGTACCACCACCTCCCCCAATTTCTCTTCTGTAGAAATGCCTGGAAGGCATTACTACACACACACACACACACACACACACACACACACACACACACACACACACAAATAAATGAACCAGAATGATTCTGCATCTGTTTCTCACTAGGAAAGCTTGTTCTTTCATGCAGCATCATGCATTAAATGTTGGCTCTTGATTTCCCTAATGAGCACACAAATGTTTATGCAAACTGCGTGAGGACAAAAGACTGTTTAACAAATATACTCAAGTCTTTTATCTAACACCTCCAGGACTACAAGCTGCATGAGATGACTTGTGCCAAGCAGTACAGGCTCTCTTGCCTCTCAAATTCTACCCTTGGAAAAGATAGCTGCTTCCTGGCAAATCCTGCATCTTAAGTGCTAATTACCATCCCTCCAGGTTCTGCATGGTAGAAGAGCAACATCAGTCTATTACACTGTGGGCCACCGCTTATTTCCATGGCTTTTTATTTTTTTATTTTGTGCTTTGTATCTCAGACCCGTATTGTCCAATAGAAACACAATACATATCATATTAGCCTAATTTCAAACTATGTTTCATTCAACCCAATGACAATCATTGTAAAATTGAAATCTTTACTTTCCACATTCTTCACATCTGATTTCTAAAACACAGCACACACAAAATGTGCCAGCTATATTTCAAGTATTCAATAGTCACATGCTCATGGTAGCTGCCATGTCAGAATAGTTTCAAACTATGATTTCCCAAGTGCCACCATGGGAGGCCAGTAAATCATACCGTGGGTGCTACTCTGCTATAGATTGTGGGAAACCGGCCAGGGGACTTGCTCAATATCAATGGTGTTATGCTTCATTCTGGTCTCAGAAACAAATCAAGGTGACATACACCCCAAACATTTCTGAGTTTGATCTCTTTGTTTCCGAAACAGACTGGAGTCCTGGGGTTGCAGACGTCAATTGCAGAGGGCCAGGACCTTTGGCTCCTTGAGGTTACAGTGAGCACCATCAGGAGGCTGTTCAACCCTGGTTGTATGATCTTTGAAAAACCACAATGTTTCAGAGTCCCGGGATCAGAACTCTTCAGATTGTAAATACAAGGCTGATCCTGCAAAGGCAATCTTTCTGAATACAGAGTAAAACCCTTCAAGCACACCCCACACCCCCAACTGTTCCTGTTCAGCCCCACCCAGGGTTTGCCTGTGTTGGCCTGGCTTCAGCCTGATGTCCAGCTGAGTGGACCTAGGCTTCCTACAAGCCATTGCCTGCCTGCCCACTAAGGAGCCAAATTCAACCATCTCCACTTTCTCTAGCTCCTCCCTTAGATAAATATCCACACTTGAGATCACAAGGAAAAGCATCTTCCCACTCTTGGGAGATGGCCGCTCCTCTTCTGCTTTGAAATGATGCTCCATTGTCATGGAGAGTTGTTTCTGAGAGTTGGCTCTTGGCTGTTCAGGAGCTCAAAGCCAAATAGGCTCCAGCTGACAGCATGAAATCTAATTGTGACTTATTTCCCTGTTGTCTTCTTGCTGGGTTTGACTCCCTCTTCTAATTACTGTTCAGTATTTGTTGATAAACCATCCCAAGTCATTGTGGGAATGTGGCGGCTGCATAACTAGGTATTAATTTCCTCACAACTGATTCTTATGACCCCAAACCTAAGTAAAATGATCCCTTTTGACAAGTCAGTAGACGCCGGCTAACCCACCCCCATCTTACATGGTCAGATGGACATGTGGTACTGTCTCGTAGTAAAGATGGCAGTTACCTCCACCACAGGACACAAGTGTTTGCCAACTTATCTAATACAATATAGTTGCAGAGAAGGCTCAGCAGACAGGAGCAATGACTGTTCTTCCAGAAGGCCTAGATTTGTTTCCCGGCAACCGCATGGTAACTACCAGCCTCTAACTCCAGTTCCAGGGTATCAACACCTTCTCTGACCTCTGAAGGTACTAGGCATATATATGCAGGCAAAATAGTCATACACATTAATTCTCAATGTGTGTGTGTGTGTGTATCAATGTTTTGTCTTTACATATGTGCACCCTGAGTATGCCTGGGCCCCCCACATCCAATCCCCTGGAACTTTTTAAGTTGGCATAATGAAACCAGAGAACAAGACTACACCAGAGACAGGAAAAGTTTATTGGAAATCACCTGCAGGGCTGCCAAGAGTAGAGCATCTTGGCCAGGGAGAGCAGATTAGGTTTTCTAGGGCTTTTGAAAGGTTAGGGCGGATTTCTCCCTTGTGGGCAGTGTTTTGTTTTCTTTTATAGGCAAAACAGAAGCCCCAGCCAGGCCCCGGAGTAGGGGTCTGTGCCTGATGTAACCAGGCCACATTTATGATGTTCCCTTTCCAATGACAGCTGGCCATTTAGGCAGGAATAAGAAACAAAGTCTCCGAGTCTCAAGATTCCTGAGAAATCTATTTCCTAATGGCTATTTGCCCAGGTTAAGTTCAGGCAGCCATGTGACCATATCAGAGGGCTACCTTGCAACAGTACAGGATAAGGGAGACAGTCTTTTCTAACTGAGCAGGGTTGATGAGGGGTCAAAGCAGGATAGGCTGGCAGGTGATGGTAGACTTACTCACCGTCAGGTAATTTCACGGCATTTCCTTGGGAAAAACAAACAAACAAACCTTAGAAATAGGAACATTTATTATGAGATTAGAGACCAGCAGCTGAGGACGGGGTAGGAACCAGGGCCCCAGGTACAGATTCCTGCTCTGGAGTTGGCTAGTGTGGGGGCCTCTTTAAGTTCTTTTATACTCTTCTACTTGGCCAGACTCGTTTCTATAGTAACAGCATCTTTAAGAGGCACGTGTCTCTCTGTACTGCTACCAGTAAATTGGGAGCCCTGTGGTTCTGGCCCATGATACCAGAGATGGAAGCTGGTTCTAGAGTAGTTAGTTTTAAGGCCCAGGTTACCTCCAGCTGGGTGGAGATATCTTGAGATAGGGACAGACTGTGACCACCCCACCTCACCCCACCAGACCCATAGGAGCCATTGAGGTTGCCAAATTTATTCCAATTATGTCTGGAAGAGCCACAGTGCTTTACACTGGATAAGAGTATAAAGTTCTCCGTGCATCTGTATTCAAGACTCTTAAAATTATGGGGTTTTCTGAAAAAAATTAACTCCCGATTTGCTTTTCCCTACAGGGCATTTGAGCATAATGTGGTATCTACCTGGTAGTGTAAATCACACAGGCTGTCTGCTCATTTCCACCATAGCTAATTAAGAGCACACATGGCAGCTACTAAGGCAGGACACCAAATGGATCCCATCAAACACCTCATTCTACAGAGGACACAATTCTGAGTCGCCAAAGTTTAGGGCTAGAGAGATGGTTCAGCAGTTAAAGACCTAGCGGGCTGCTCTCCTAGAGAACCTAGTTTCAATTCCCAGCACCCACATAGCCGCTCACAACTGTAACTCCAGTTTCAGCGTATCCGATGCCCTCTTCTGGTCTCTATAGGTACTGCAAGCACGTGGTACAGACACATGTAGGCAAAATTAAATTTTATAGATAAAAATTACAAAGATCTTTTGTGTCAACATTGTGGCAATTTTCAGGCTAGGGCAGACTCACAATAAACTAAGTAATGGAAATGAATTCTATAGGCACAATATTCTCATGCTTCTATATATGCAATTGGGACTGCGTCAAATTCATGTTTCCACTATAAAGGGGACCTTGATTCTTCATGATTGCATACCTTTTCTTCTCAAAGTTGTACCAGTTCATCTCAAGCCAGCAAGCTGCAGGAGAAATAGCAGAGGCAATTAGTAAGGAACACAGTGATATCCAGACTATGCTGGCAATAACATCTTTTTGCATAAAGAATCCTCAATGTACTACCCAGTACATTTGGGACATCTACTCAGTAATGTCTCAACACAATTTTAAATGCAAAGCCACATCTTTCTCTTTAAGCATGAATTCACTCACCAGCACTCCATTTATTAGTTTGTGTGTGCACACAGGCACGAGAGCACACATGAAAGTCCAAGGACAACTCAGTTGGCTGTCTCCACCAGAGGGCCCAGTCATCAAACTCAGGTGGTCAGGCTTGGCACTGCTAAGCCACCGACACCCCCCTCCCCCCATCTACAAAGAGGTAGTGTGACTGCATTACAACCCTAGTAACTTGGCCTCAGGTAAATCCTTTAACCCATCAGAGCAGCGTATCCAATCAGGTTAGAGTTCTCATCCTTGGCCAAGAATTCTGTTCCTGGAATTATGTTGGGACAAGTTAAATTTTTTCATTTGACCCATACCTTGTGTTCATTAACACCCTGGGCATAGAACCACAGCACCTGTTTTAAAGAAAAAATGTCAACAATGTTACAAGTATCAGGCCATAACTTTTTTTTCCCTTAAAAAACGCACATTAAAAAAAAAAACAAAAAACAAAACTTTTCTTGGGGCTACTAGGTGCCTTTGGTGACGGAAGTCCTCCTCTGAACAGCAAAGCTGTGATCTTCCCATTTATGACAGCTGGGAGTTTATTTTATTCCATCTGTGCCACCATTACAACTGAATCCACCACATAACCATAGAATTTATCAAGTTTAGAAACAAAATGACTAGCTGCAGTATTTCTTTAGGGCAAGTTGAAGCACTTTCATTGATTTCAAAATCAGAAGCAGCAGCATCACTCATGCTTGCTGAAGTTGAACAGGGAGAGGAAAGAAACCGTGGTCCTGGAACCTGCTGTGCGGTCCTCAGACTGCGGCTCACACTGCCAGTCACTCCAGGCTCTCAGACCTGTGCCAAACCGAATGGCTCAACAGAAATGTAAACCCTAACGGAAACAAAACCATGGCGTGTTCCTTTGTTGCAGTACAAGGATTACTGGATAGTTGTTTACAAGAGCCCACCAGAAGATTTTTCCCTCTAAAATGGGATTCACCAGGCATAGTGGCTCCCTGTACTGCTGTACCCATAAATCCCAGCACAGGGTACAGGGCAGAAAGATTCCCTAGGCCAGCATGAGAACCTGTCAAACACAAAGTTCGCATCCCAGTAGAAAACTAAAGGACGCCTTCCGTCGTTCACTAATGTCTAAATTTAGATCTTCACAAATGTTAAAGCGGTAGTGAGCAGGCAAGACTCCCGGGTGCTCAGGAAATACTCATGTCCGGTCTTAGGAACTCTTTGGGGAAAGAGTTTCTACATCATGGAGCACAGAATTTAGGTATCTAATGCCTTGTACAAGTGTGGACCCAGCGGCTCAGAATTTTCCCCAGAACACAAAACCCAGGCAGGCCGGGCTTGTGTCCGAGGAAGGCTGGGCAGCATAAAGGGCTGGCTAATCCAGGCACTGTGGCATCGGCTCAGGGAAGACTCTCAAATCTTTAAAAAAAAAAAAAAAAAAAAAAAAAGTCTCTGCAAAGTGGCATTTGAAGGGCACTTATAGCGAGGACGCAGCTGCGTGGGCGAAATTACCTCCGTTCCTTGCTAACACTGGAATTATCCTGCTACTCTCGGATCTCTGACCTCATTCGCTTCCTAAATAGGCGATGTCCCCGTCACCAGACTACTGGGCAGGCGGGAGCCCCGAGTGTGCCAAGGACCGGGGGACCGTCCTGACTGCGCCTCCACCCGGGAAGAGACAAATCCGGGCTGCGCGGAGGCCGAGCCCCAGTGCCACACCGAAGGGACCGGCACCCGGCAGGGACCGGCGCGCGGGGCTAGCACCGTGGGCATCCCCGAGGCCACGTGGCGGGATCTTGCCTTCCGCAGCACGGGCAGGACTTACCAGGAGCGCGCTGCGGCGGAAAAGGGAGGACGTCCGGCGGGACCAAGTTTAAAATGGGCCGGACAGTGAGCTCCGGGGCGCAGCCAACCAGAGTGGCCCAGGGCCCCTCCCGGCCCGCCCCGTACCGGGTTCCCGCCCCGTACCGGGTTCCCGCCCTATAGCAGCTCCCGGGCCCTCGCGCGCCCCCTGGCGGCCTCGGCGCCTCCTAGCCTGCCCCCAACCCAGGGCAGTTCCACTCAGCGCCCTGACTGCAGAATCGTTCAGTTCGCTGAAGATTAGGGGAGGATCTTGGCGCCACTGCAGTGTAGGGATCTCCGCTTCCTTCTCAATCCCCCCCCCCCCCCCCCGACTCCAAACCGCCTTCTTAAAGCCATACATTGGATTTGGTACTATCCCACACCCTTTTATGCTTATTTTCATTTAAAGCCCCATGCCTAATTATGTAACAGAATTTGCTCCTGTTTACGAAGCTGCGACATCATTTGCACAGTGTGAATCCTAGGCTATTGGCAGTATTTGGCACTGCAACACGATCAAGGAGAGTCTATCCCTAGCTCCAGACTCAGCTAGATCATGCTCTGGACTCTTGTTTAGCTGTTCCTCATCCCTTTTCAGAGGAAAGAATGTCAGTTAGATGCTGTGTTGATGTAAATGTTGAGGGGAAACTGAGGTAGTCCACAACCCTCCGTTCTGTCTGCCACGCTCTTGGTAGGAACCCGGTAAAGGTTCTCTTTTATGGGGGAGGCAGAAGGGGGGGGTCTCTGAAAGCCACTGAAGAAGCAGTCAATCAGAAACAGGTATCAACTTTAAACTTTCATGCTTCTTTTGCTAGTACTAGCTGAAAGGAAGCCAGCATTCCTAATTAATCATGTGCAATACCATAATCCTGTACTTAACTCGGTGTAAATATTCAGTCCTCTTTCATGCTATGGCAGTTGACACCCATTAGTTCATCCTTCTTGAAGAAGATCCGCAATCAGTTTGGAGGCATTGAGACCTCGCTCCCTTCCCTGCCACTGCCCAGTGCAGTATTAAGTACTTGTATCCCTGACCCAGATATGGGTGGGGCTGGGTGGGACAGTCTCAGTTCTCAAGTCACAAGCTGAGCAGGTTCGGAATGTGAAACGAGAAGGGATTGTATTATTACCATCTTCCTGGATCCTACCAGTCTTGATCTTTGTTTCCCGGAGAATCTAAGAATCTCATGTCCTCAATGAACAAGCAGACACAGATGTGGGAATCTGCTTTTATAGATTAATGAGCCCATTCATGTTATTGGGCAGTTTGCCATGTGCAGGTCTGTTCCCCGGCAGATTGCCTGTTCTGAGCACCTGGGGGCTTGTTGGTGAGCCGAGAGAATGTCTGCCCTTGATGAGGCAGAACGGTCCTATCTGCCTAAGTCAGCCTGGATGACGGCCTGGGGGATGCACAGGTGTGTGCCCTGTGCACCTTGGGATATGATGCTCTTGTTTATGATCCCAGCAGGGCTACCAAAGAGTTCGTATAAAGAATCCCCCCCCCCCCAGGTTTTTACCTTACACATGGCAGCCTTGTTGTCCACAGTTCTTTAGGAAGTATGTGAATATCTTCATAAAGATGAAGCTGTATATTCAATGCACAGATCCCCATTGTAGATAAGAACGATCCAGACTGTGTTATTCAAACTGGAAGTCATGTCTATGTGTGATTTTCTGTGTGTATGCTTGTGCCTGAAGAGGCCTGAAGAGGGTGTCAGCTTCCCTGGAGCTGGACTTACAGACAGCTGTGAGCTACTCGAAGCAGATGCTGGGAACCAAACTCTGTAAGAGCACTACACTCTTTCAACTCTTGAGCCATCTTTCCAGCCACGGAAAAACAAAACCAACCAACCAAACCCCAAACCCCGCCATTTTAACTCCACATCCTGCCACAACTGATCCACCTTTTATTTCTTTTTATAGCAACACCCCTCAAAAGAGTTGTCAACTATTCATGCTCTTGGTGTGTTAAGCATCATAAGCCATCAAGGAACTGAAAACTGGAACACCACCATGATGTCACTTACACACTTATCAAAATGATTAGAACCTAGAACTGACAATTCAAATGTGTGTGAGGATAAGGAGACCCATTCATTGCTTGTGGGAATGCAACATGGAAGTATGCAGAAGACAATGGGTAGCTTCTTACAATACTAACCACACTTTCATAATGAGATCCAACATGTCTGCTCCTTGGTATTTACCCAAGGGAGCTGAAAAACGTATGTGCACACAGAAAGCTATGCAGAAATGTTTATATCAGGTTTATTCATCATTGCAAAATCTGAGAGCAGCCAAGCTGCTCCTCAGTTGGTGAATAAACTGTCCAGACAATGGAATATTATTAGCATTAAACAGAAATGAGCTATCAAGTCACTGAAGCTCGGTATATTACTAAGTGAAGGAAGTCCATCAAAAAAGGCTACATTTTATGTGATCAAACAGGAACATTCAGAAAAGGGGAAAACTCATAGCAGAGGGAGGGTGAGGGAATAGAACAGTATTTTTTAGCACACGATAACTATTCTGCATATAAAAGTGGCCACATGCCATTATGTCCTTGTCCAAGTCCATATAGCACATGACAGTGAACTCTTAGTGTTGGTTCACTAACGGTACAAATGCACTCCTCTCGTGTGGGCTGTTGATAACATGGAAGGCTGTGTGTACAGGAAAGGACTGATGTGAGAACTCCCTATCTCTGCTAAGTTTCACTGTGAATTTAAAATTGCTCGAAGGGGCTGTGGTGGTGCACACCTTTAATCCTAGCACTTGGGAGGCAGAGGCAGGGGATCATTGTGAGTTCGAGGCCAGCCTGGTCTACATAGTGAGACCCTATCTTTACCAAAAAAAGTTCAGGCCAGGCAACATCAAGTGATGGAACCCTTTCTTCTTTAAGTTGCTCTTCCCAGAGCCTCCTTTGGTGATTCTATTTATATCTCATTGGCTAGAACTGTGTCATATGCCTGCTTCTAGCTGCAAGTGACACTGTGGTGGAAGATGTTTACATGATTTGTTTATGTTGCAGAATATTACTTAACTATGTGAAGGTGTGTTACATTTGTTATGCTGCATTTGTTTAATGATGTAAGGATGCGTGTTTAATTATGTAAAGATGTGTCGCATCTGTTTCACCTTGCCTGCCTGAGGCCCCTGATTGGTCTAATAAAGAGCTGAATGGCCAATAGCCAGGCAGGAGAGGGGTAGATGAGGCTGGCTGGCAGAGAGAATACGTAGGAGGAGGAATGTAGGCGCCAAAGGAAGAGGAGAGAAGAAAGGAGAAGAGAAGGAGAAGAAAGAAAGGGACACACCCGGGGCCAGAAACCAGGCAGCTGCCAGACAGACAGACAGACTCTGGAGGAAGCAGGAAAGTAACACATGCAGAAAAAATGATTAAAAGCCCCAAGGCAAAATGTAGCTAAAGAGAAACAGATTAAAATAAGAGTTAAGATAAGGCTGAGCATTCACAACTAATAAAAAGCCCCTGTGTCATGATTTGGGAGCTGGTTGGTGGCCCAAAAGAAAAATGTCCTCTCTATTCTGAATCGTTGGCTCCAATTTTCTCTAGTTCCAGATCTCTTTAGATCCAATTCTCTCTCATATTTCTCTCATGCTTCTTCATCTCTCGCATTTTTCTCTCTGCCCATGCAGCTGTGTCCCTCACTCAGCACACACATACACTCATCTCTGTATCTTCTACCCCAACAGTCAAACTCTGGACAATTATATGTTACATTTTCAGGGTCGGTCCCAATCTCATAACACATGATAGGTCGTATGGTTTCTCTCAGGCCAGGAGGATCGAGCTGACCGGCCAGTGAGTAACGTTTGGCCATACACGTAGCTCTGAGTTGGTCAGGGTTCCCAGACAGAAAGTGACATTGAAATTCAGGACTTAACAATGAACAATTAGTTGGCTGAACCTTGGGGTTGGGAGTACATGAAGAAAGTCCATTGCTGCAGAGGGTGTGTCTTAGTGATGTCGGCCTGACTTTGGTTTAACAGACTTGGGAATTTGTCCTTGAATATTCTCTGCAGGGGCAGCTAGCTTGTTTTAAATTTGTTCTGAAGTCTAAAATTAGCTGTCTTTGTGACTGAGAATATTGTTACTTTCCTATGTCAGTTATGAAAAATATTCTAATATTATAAGAATTAAACAGTTTAAGAAAGCCGGGCGTGGTGGTGGTGCATGCCTTTAATCCCAGCACTTGGGAGGCAGAGGCAGGTAGATCTCTGTGAGTTCAAGGCCAGCCTGGTCTATAGATCGAGTTACAGGACAGCCAAGTTTACACTGAGAAGAAACCCTGTCTCAAAAAACCAAAAAACAAAAAAAATACTACCAATGGGCTATGGAAAGAACCCCACAGCTGTTCTTTTTAGGGAGATATTGTAGTGGCACATGAGAAAGTTATAGACAGAAAACAAGCGGTTTCCACAGCCAGTGACCCGACAGACAAATGGGGCTCCCCATCAGAGAGCTATTCATCGGGCAGGTCGACTGTTGAATACTAGTTGTCACCTGCTGTGTACTCCCATGGTCCTCGGCAGTTCCTTTTTTTTTTTTTCTCTTACTCTCTTGGGGGGGCCCACCATCCAACTCCCAAATAAATCACACACAGAGTCTTAATTCTTACTTGCCAGATTTTCTTAAATTATCCTATCTACCTTTTGCCTCTGACTTTTTCCTTATCTTACTTTTACTCTCATTCCATGGCTGGCTGTATGGCTGTGTGGCTATATGGCTGTGTGGCTGTATGGCTGTGTGGCTATATGGCTGTGTGGCTGTGTGGCTGTGTGGCTGTGTGGCTGTGTGGCTGTGTGGCTGTGTGGCTGTGTGGCTGTGTGGCTGTGTGGCTGTGTGGCTGTGTGGCTGTGTGGCTGTGTGGCTGGCCCCTGGAGTCCTCCTCCTTCTTTTCTTGCTCCCCTCATCCCTCTTTTTCTCTTTCTATTTATCCTCTCTGCCTGCCAGCCCCACCTATCCTTTCTCCTGCCTTGCTATTGGCTGTTCATCACTTTATTAGACCAATCAGGTGTTTTGGACAGGCAAAGTACACAGCTTCACAGAGTTAAGCAACTGCAACATAAAAAATACA